TTTGATAAATTTTCCAAGCCTTGAGATCATGCTGTATACGAATAGCATTCACTATAGCATATGGTCAATATCTGAAGGATTCTGAAGAAGGCTAGCTAGTTAGTGTTTCACGATAGCTACAGAAGACCTAGCCACTTGCTGATTGCTACATGAAATGTTTACTTTTACCTGATGCAAGGAATTGCTTGGAAAAAAACTCCTCTCTGTAACTTCTGAAGGCACCGCGTTCTTCACTTTATTTCTAGCTAGAACCCAGACATGGAGTGCAGTGGTCCGTGTGTGTGCCAGTCAATAAATCCTATTCCAAGAATTAGCTTGATCATCACTTAAAAAAGTTTTGATTTCAAATTTAAGTACGGCAGGACTCAACTGCACCATTAAGTTCTGGATAGCAAACAGGAGAGTCATCATGGCAGAAACCAACATGTCTGTGTAAGATAGGCTAAGTATTAAACTAGAAGCTCATGTCGATAAAAAATAGAGAAGGTAGGTGCATACCTTTTTTGCTGACCAATGTCTCTTAAGTAGGGGTGTTAACGGAGCGGATACGGTTCGGATACGACACTAATCATATCCATATCCGCTTTCTATAAACGGATACGGATACAGATATAGATTATCTTCGGTAAGAAAAAATCTTAACCATATCCGCACTCATCAGAAAAGGATATGGTTCGGATATTTGAGAATCGGATTGGATACAAACACGGATATGAAACGGATATTCGACAAATGGATATGAATCGGATATGAATTAGTACACCTATGTATAAATTACAACCAAATGGGTAAATGTATGTGGTTGTTGGCTTCTCCTTGCATAAATGTATGTGGTCGCAAATGATAAAAATATAATACAACAATTTGTTCTTCATTAGACGCTTGAATCGAATGATTAGACATGATTTTTTATTCAATGAAATAAAAAAAAACGTAATAAAAAATCTTATAGCCACATATAACATATTGACAATGAAATTAAAACTAGAGTTTTGATTCGACCTTATGGAACAGACGATGGATTCGACGAAGGATCTGAAGGAGGAATCGGGGTCGCAGAGGCGCCGGAGGGCGGCGAAGAGGAGGCGGGGGAGGAGGGGGGAGGTCGAGTGACTTGATGGAACGGCTGTCGGAGTTCGAGGGGAGGAAGATGAGGCGGAGCCGCAAAGGGAATGGTGGCGGAGGGCGGCGAAGAGGAGGCGAGAGATCCGACGACGGGATCTGAAGGAGTGGCGGCGGCGAGA